TTATTTTATTTTATTTTATTTTATTTTATTTTATTTTATTTTATTTTGCTTCTGCTCTCTGTGCTCTTTCTGAGAACTGCGAGCCGTATTGGCCTCCGGACTGACAACTGAACGAGATGCCTCGCTTGTACCTCTCCAGGATCTTCAAGGTTTCTGAAATCACTCAGAGAAGTAGTGAACAGAATTGCTAGCATACTTAAACAAGTCTGAAACATTTTTTTTTGCCCCAACTTTTTACATAGTAATAGTTTACCTGTGTAGCAGTGACAAGGCTTTTAATATCTTGAGATATATATTGGACTATGTATTGTTTCTTTTAGATAAGGAAATTGATGTACAGATATCCAAAGCAAGATAAAACAGTTATTCTTTTGGTCTCAGAGTGGCAAAAGAATCCAAGTTCTCCAACTAAATCAAAATGAGCTGGCTGCTTTTCTTTGAGCCATCACAGTTTTCATTTTACATTGTTCTGTTATATAGTACTGGACAATAAACTTTGGCTTTCACACTAATTCAGACACATGCTTGCAGTGTGTTGTGGCTACTTGAGCACTGAAAGACTTCTTGAGCTGGGTAGGTGGAGGCTACCTAGAGATAGAAGGTGTGTGTGAAGTGGTTTGGAATTTTTTTTTTGCTCCACTGTTCCATATTATCTATAAGGTCAGTTCAGTTGCACAAATTTCACACAACTTTGGGATCACAGAATTGTAGGTTGGAAGGGACCTCTGGAGATCATCATAGAAGGCTACCAGGATGACCAAGTGTGATTTCCCCTTGGTGAATCTGTGTTGACTATTCCCAATAACCTTCTTCTGCTTGCCTGGAAATGATGTCCAGAATAAGTTGTTCCATCACCTTCCCAGAGATGAAGGTGAGGCTGACTGGCCTGTAGTTTTCGAGTCCTCCTCCTTATTGTTTTAGCGTCCTGGAGTGACATTGTACTCTAATCTTTAGGTACCTCTCTTGTTCTGCATGACCTTTCACAGATTATGTGGAATGGTGTGGCTGTTACTTCTGCCAGCTACTTCAGCACTCATGAGTGCACCCTACTGAGACCCATGGATTTTTGCATGTCGAGTTTGCCTAGATAATCTCTAGCCTCATCTTTCTCTAAGAAGAAGTCTTCCTTTTCTCCGACACTCTCTTACCTCCTGAGTCTGGGATTCCTGACAAGCAGTCTTAGCAGTAAGGCTGAAGCAAAGAAGGAATTAAGTAACTCTGTTTTTTCCACATTCTCTGTTATCAGGGCATCTCCCTCATTCAGCAGCAGGCCCACATTTTCTCTAGTCTCCCTTTTGTTACTTACATACTTAAAGAATCCTTTCTTGTTGCCTTTGACCTCCCTCACCAGATTTAATTAGAATGGTCCTTAGCCTTCCTCATTGCATCCTTGCATGCCCTGATAACATTCTTGAATTCCTACCAAGTGACCAGAACTGGGAGAAGTTTGGGATTTGGAATTGAGATTGTTTCCAGTGTTCTACTTGACCAGCACATTTACTGTGCCTCAAAGCGCCTCCTACCTACAACTGCATCCTGAAAGAGTGAGACTTTGACAGCTTCTTCACACTGGAGCCAGAACATGATCATTTCTGTGGAATGTAAGGAGTAGGATAGATAGGATTCAGACTGGCTAGTCAGCAGTTGACCTCAGGATGTGCAAATCCTCATTTTATTCATACTGATAACCTGTTCCACGGCTTCTCGGTCACTGGGTGATTGATGTCTGCACTAGCTTGTTTTTCAACTTGATACTTGATACTGTCCTTCTAGGACTGTTTTTTTTTCTGTTTGTTTGTTTTGTACGTGGGAATGTGGTACACCATCCACTTTACTATCATCTGCTATATATACTGCTGGTATAAGTAGGACTAGGGAAATATTAACCTACTTATAAGGATGTAATCTCACTTCTGGATTTCTGCCTTTCATTTTGTGCTATTGCACCACCTCATTTTTCAGAAAGACCAATTGTACTGAGCATAATGAGGTGGGAGTGTGAAATGCTAAATGAATTGAAATGAGTTTAATAAGTTATTCCAAAAGGAATATCCACTGTCTTTACTTTTATATATTTATTTGTGTGTGTGTTTCTTTCCCTCTTCACACTCCCATGTATCAGCTACTGGAGCTCGGCTTTGTGCCTTCTGATACATGGGTGTTGTTCTGTGGTCTGCTCCATGGTGTTGTTGAAGACCAAAATATAATCATCTTAATTGTCTTTCTGATGAACTGTAGAGAAGTAAAATCTGAGGGTGGCTGACCTCTGTGTGATTGCACACAGTGACTGACAGACTACCTGCAACACGTGCGCTAAACCACATTTGCTATTGATTTGGTTTTACCAGACCTTTTGGCAACGCAAGTCCTAAACCATCACAGCTGCTAATATGATTCTACTAGATGAGGGTGGGTACAGATGACTCTTCTAAGAATGATATTTGCTCTGTGGCGGAAAAATCACTGTATGCCACAAACAATCTGAGGGAAGTGTGCATAGACCTCTTGAACAGCAGAACTCAGCGTAAATAATCCCGGTACGCATGTTGAAGTTATACTGCCTATGACATTGTATGGTAACTTGAGTCATGGCCTGAACCACTGATTGAGCACCTGCGGAAAGGACCCAGTCAGCCCTGGGAGCACAGGTGAAGGCAATTCAGCTGTGTGACCAGCAGGTGTAGAGCCTGACTGCACCTCTCTTTGACTTCATTTAAGGGCTGATTGCCACTCTGGAAGGTTCTTTGGTTGGTGATCCCTACTCTGTGGAGTTTCCCTTGTGAGCCTAGCTCTTCAGAGGCAGATGGTGAGCACTTTTCCTTTGTAATGCTTTTCTATTGTGCTGGTTCCCTTGTCATTACATCTTGTGTATCAATATTCCATTGTGTTGGAGTAGTGTTTCTGATAGTTACAAGTGTTAAAAATAATATAGTAGGGCTATTATTGTTGTGTTGTGTCTGCTGGTGTGGCTTCAAGCATAATTTAAGTAGTGCTTGCCTCAAACCTGGATTACCTGTTTTCCCCTGCATTCATGATGAGGATAGCAGTCACACAGTTTTCTGACACAGCAGCGCTCACATAAGATATATTTAGTTTAGTGAGTAAAGTAGAAACGTGTTCAGAGCTTCTGTACAGAGGAAAAAAGTGAAGGCAGTGGTATTTGCTCCCCAGTAGTTTAGAATAGGAAAGTAAGAAAAATGGTAACAGGAAGGGAGAGTATGGAGCTAAGGGTGTATTGGTCAGATTGCTTGGCATGTTTCTCAAGAGAAATCAGAGCAAAGAAGCTGTAAGGAGAGTTAAGGAAGGAGAATGAAGTTTGAAGCTGGCTGGGAGGAGTTTACCTCAAATATGAATGTGGGACTACAAGCCTCAACATAAAATTACTGCTGAAAGCGCTCTTTGAAGATGGCATTTTGGATGGATGGGACTTGAATGGGATTAAATCTGTGGAAAGAATTTGCAGTAATCAGGATGATGAGAAC